ACAACGGCTAACCAAAAGGTCCGCCATTCCAATCCACCAGGTGGTCCCTGGAAACCCTACGGGGCAGTTCTACTCTGTCCAATAGGGTCGCTATGAGTCGAAATCCACTGGAAGGCAACGGATTATTGACAAGAGCAAAAGGGCTGAGAAGGAAAATAAGTGTAAAATTCTTTTCTGCTAGAAAGTTGTTGTTAGGTGCCATTGAGTTGGTTCTGACTCATAATGACCCTATGTGCAACACTGCCCCGTACTGCACCATCCTCACAATCGTTACGCTTTAGCCCACTGTTGCAGTTACTGTGTCAAACCATCTCATTGAGGGTCTTCCTCTTTTTTGCTGACTTTACCAAGCGTGATGTCCTTCTCCAGGGACTGATGCCTCCTGATAACATATCCAAAGTATGAGACGTAGTCTTGTCATCATTGCTTCTAAGGAGCATTCTGGCTGTACTTCTTCCAAAACAGATTTGCTCGTTCTTCTGGTAGTCCATGGTATATTCAATATTCTTCGCCAACACCATAATTCAAAGGTGTCAATTCTTCTTCGGTCTTCCTTATTCATTGTCCAGCTTTTGCATGCATGAGGTGATTGAAAACACCATGGCTAGGGTCAAGAGCATCTTGGTCTTCAAGGTGACATCTTTGCTTTTTAACACTTTAAAGAGGTCTTTTGCAGCAGATTTGCCCAAAGTAGGTGTCTTGGTCATCTAGTGCTATAACAGAAATAGCACAAGTGGATAGCTTTAACAAAGAAGTTTATTCTCTCACAGTCCAGTAGGCTAGAAGTTTGAATTCAGGGCGCCGGCTCCAGGGGAAGGCTTCATCAGCTCCGGAGGAAGGTCCTTGTCATCAGTCTTCCCTTGGTCTGGGGGCATCTCAGCACAGGAACCTCAGGTCCAAAGGACACGCTCTGCTCCTGGCACTGCTTTCTTGGTGGTATGAGGCCCCCACTCTGTTCACTTCCCTTTCTTTTTTATCTCTTGAGAGATAAAATGCGGTGCAGGCCACACCCCAGGGAAACTCCTCCCACCCTAATCCTCTTTAACATAAAATTACAATCTCGGAATGGAGGACAACCACACAGTACTGGGAATCATGGCCCAGTCAAATTGATACACACATTTTTGGGGGGGATATAATACGTGACGGTAGGAAACCCAAAGATGCCTTTTTTTTTTGGCTATTTGCCAGGCACTGTTTTAAATGCTTTTACAAATACTAATCTTACTGTTTATTACCAGGCCCATTTTGACAGATGAGGAATCTGAGGCCCAGAGAGTCCAGGTCACTCAGCTATCAAATGGTAGTGCTGGGCTTCAAACCTTAGCAGTTTGACTCCAGAGTCAGTGCTCTTTGTTACTACCTTCTGGTGCTTCTTTGGGATGTGATAAGAAGGGGTTAGAAACAAGAAGAGCAAAAAATAAACCTTGGACAGCTCCGGGGATTGGCCACTGTGATGATTGCTTCTTTGGTTTATGAGAGTGTTCATCTTTTTGTGTAGGATAAGGGTTCTGTGTGAGAAAGGTTTCTAAAGGGATGCCCTCTCCTCCAAAGACAGGGGGACTTTAAAATAGTGCATGCCATCAGTTTGTTTTCTTTGTAAGTCAGGTATTTACTTTTAATTTTGCACATTATTGTTGCTAGTTGCTGTTGAGTAGATTACAACTCATGGCGACCACTATAGCAGTTACAAAACACTGTTTTTTGTGGGGGTATTGGAGGAATTTTTAATTTTTTCCCATACAAAAATCTATACACTATTATGTGACCCTAATTGCTTTCCCCATACTGACAGCACACTCCTCCTTTCCACCTGATACCCCATGTCCATTCAGCCAGCTTCCTAACCCTGCCTTCCCATCTCACTTCCAGACAGAAGCTGCCTGTTTAGTCTCTTGTATCTGTTTGAGCTAAGCGGCACATTCCTCATGAATATCACTTTATGTCTCACAGTCCAGTCCAATCCCTATCTGAAGAGCTGGACTTGTAAAATTGTTTTAGTTCTGGGCTGATAGAGAATCTAGGGGCCATGCTTTCCAGGGTTGCTCCAGTCTCAGTCAGACCATTAAGTCTGGTCTTCTTACTAGAATTTGAGTTCTGCACCCCATCTTTCTCCTGCTCCATCTGGGACTCTCTGTTGTGTTCCCTGTCAGGGCAGTCATTGGTGGTAGCCAGGCACCATCTAGTTCTTCTGGTCTTAGGCTGATGAAGTCTCTGGTTTATGTGACCCTGTCTCTTGGGCTAATACTTTTCGTCTTTAGTGTTCTTCATTCTCCTTTACTCTAGGTGGCTGGGACCAGTTGATACATCTTAGATGGCTGCTTGCAGGCTTTTAAGATCCCAGACGCCACTCACCAAAGTAGGATGCAGAACATTTTCTTAATAAGCTTTGACCAAACACTATTTTCATGTGAACACCTTAATGATGGTCTGACCACTTCTTTTTTTTAAGACAATCAGCCCATGTTAAACTGAAACTGTGTATTAAAATTTTCTTGATTGTCTGGTGAAGGCTTTATCTACATTTAGGCCTCCGTCAATACTGTCGGGTTATTCACAGTATGAAATGGGTAGTCTAGAGGACCTTCATGAAATCTTTAATTCCAAGTTGACCGTAGAGGGAGCAGAATCATTCACATTTTCATGAAAATATTACTACTTTCAGTAGCATATTAAGATTGCAGTCTTTAACTTGTCAGATTACAAAAAGCCTTGTTTCTTGCACATACTAAAGATTTCTAGGTTTTAAGTACACAATACTAGAGTTCAGTTTCATTTTGTGTCTCAGATAGTAGGGGAGATATAAGCGGCTCTTCTATCAGTCTGCAGTGCACTTGAAATTCCTAGTGACCAAGGGGCACTCTCTGCTGTCCAGCTGCCACACTGTGTTGTTGTTAGGTGTCAAGTCAGTTCCGACTCACAGCGACCTCACGTGACAGAGTATAACTACCCCATACGGTATTCTAGGCTGTAATCTTTATGAAAGATTGCCAAATCTTTCTCCCACACAGCTGCTGAGTGGGTTTGAACCACCACCATTTCAGTTAACAGCCAAGTGCTTGAACAGTTGCACCACCCATCCTTCCCATTGCCATTGAGTCAAGTCTGACTCATAGCTACCCTACAGGACATAGCAGAACTGCTCCCATAGGATTTCCAAGGCTGATTGTGAGAACGCACAGGACCTGGCAGTGTTTTGTTCTCTTGCACACGGGGTCACTGAGTTGGAACCGACTCAACGGCACCTAACAACAATCTTTACAGAAGCAGACTGCCACATCTTTCTTCCACAGAGCAGCTGGTGGGTTCCAATCGCTGAACTCTTGGTTAGCACCTGAGCACTTAACCACCAAGCCACCAAAGCTCTTTAAAAAAAAAAGAAAAGCCCGCTGCCGTCAAGTCGGGTTGGTTGCAACTCACAGCGACCCTGGAGGACAGAGTATTAACTGCCCCGTAGGGTTTCCAAGGAACAGCTAGTGAAATCAAACTGCTGACCTTTCAGTTAGCAGCCAAGCTCTTAACCACTGCACCACCAGGGCTCCAAGAAGCAGTGGTCCAGAGCTCCTTAGACCTACCTAAGTTTCAAGTTATAATGAAATGGGAGAAACAAAATATTCAGTTCAGTACTTGAAGCAAATATACATCATGATTTTTAATAGCTGTTTTATGTTAAATGCTCTGCAAACTGCTAGTCAACATAAGGTTTATCATCAGTTGGTAGCTTTCCTCTCCTCTTGCAATCCAATTCACTGGCATTCTGAGCACACTGACAGCCTTTATACCTTTTAGGAAAAGGAAAATTTAGCTATATATCCACCCCTCAAATCTGTCTTGAAAGGCCTTGCCAAATCTGAAAACTCAGTAACACTCTGAGGTGCCTTTGCCCTCATCTCTACCTGGTGAACAGAGCTCCTGGAAGACTGTTTAGAAATAAACCTTGCTTCATACCTTGGCTTAAGGGCACAGCATGAGCTATTTTCAACATTCAGAAATCAATAGATAAGTATTTATTTACACATTTGAAACCACTGTTAATGTTTTTTTTTTTTTTAAACTACAGCTAACCCAGGAACATGGGTATCTAAGGCAGACTGAAAGTTCAATGTGATATGAGGTAATTCTATTATCAGTATTTTCCAACTTCAAAGGAAAAAACACATAAATACCAGTAAGCTTTGCAGTACGTAACTGCAAACAGAAAGACATGGAAATTTTCTGTACCTTTTTCTTGATCCTAAAAAGAAAAATGCAACTCCCTATTCCTGTACTCTCTAAATCTGATTTCTCAGTGGTGGGAAGCCATCCTCTTGAGCACACACCATAAATGTGACAGTTTTTAACACCCAGATTACCAAAGGAAGCTACTCATCTTTCAAACTTACCACCTTAATTAATGGAGAAGGTATTTGTTTAAATAAGTTCTACTAAGAAAATGCCATTTGCTATCGTGTCCACCATGTAAAAACTGCAAAGAATACCAACTTCTCCTCACCCCCACCTTTTTAGCTGATTTTTTAGAGGTAGGAAATGTGTACTGAGAATTTTATATCTCAATTCATGTATTAGTCATATTAAAACAGGTGCATAAAGATACATGAGAAAACATCTCTGATCATATATCAATTTAACTAAAAAAAAGAGTCACGAACACATAATTTTAAAGTTTACTTTAAAAATGTAAATATCTCCTAATATTCAACAGGTAAAGAAAATAGCATATTGGTTTATTTTATGTGGTTGTTATATTTTATTTTCCAAGTAATACTGATTAAAAATATTTACACACCTACTTTTAAGTCCACAGTTTAGCACTCTTATTTGTATGGCTTTAAAAGTTATAGCACAAGATCTTTACATTAAGGATCGGGGGAAAAATTCCATTCAAAACAAAGCCTGATATATACATGTTCTTCTCTGTACTTTATTTTAAATACATTAATTTTTTAAATGGTGCTCATCTTTTTTTCATCTGGTGGTAAAATACTAGTGCAAACTTTTCATCAAAATAAAGTTTACCACAGATGTAAATGAATTTTCCCAATTGAAAACGGCCCTTTCAGCTGCCATTAAATGAAATTTCTCAACCTAACTTAAATGAAAAAGAATCGGTGGTTGACATTTATAAGCAAAAATATAAAACACTACAGCATCATCTACATTGCTCCTTATCACACAAACTTTGAAAGAACCAGAGATGCTTTGCAGAAGCTTAGTTTGTTTTGAAAAGGCACGTGGGTGTGGTTTTTTTTTACATTCTAGAAATTTTGCCACCACCACTCTGTTCCTGTTGCAGAGATGGCATCTGTGACTACTGGGGTAGACAAGAATATTATTCAAACTAAAGGAAGCCAGAAGCCAAAATTTAACTGCACAGTAACAATGCACTTTTCTTCATGCAGCCTTGTTTCCTATATATTCAATTTTCTAACATGCATTAGAATACATAAACTTGTATTCTAATGATTTTACAATAGGGAAAAAAATTTGAGGAAGAACATGACCTGGGAAAGAGAAAGGAGAACCCTTACCACAATGAATATAGATACATTCGTACCCAACTATGTAATAAGAATATAATGCATTTATGCTTCCAGATATATACTTCTCAAAGTTTCCCATTCATTTATGGGAAAGTTCCCTCCTCTGTAGCATTACGTGGGGTAGAAACCAGTATGTTTCAATAGAAACAGTCAGCACAACAGGAAATAGTTAACTTTGGTCCACTTGTCTGTCAACAAGGACAGTCACACTGCCCATATCAGTTGAAAAATCCAACATGTAAATTAAAAAATATATTCATTTGTTATTTCATTCTAAAACTGGCATCGCTGTTCTGTCCTCATTCCCTGCCTTTTCAGCTTGAGAATCCACTGTTGGTTTGGTCTGTATACCCTCAGCATCTTCGTGATCTTCCCTGGTATCCTCAGCAGTATCTGCTTGGCAAGGCTTTCTCTCCTCCTGGTTCATGATTTCAGGGGTCACTTGATCCAAGTCTGCTTCTAGAAGCTCAGTTTGTACTTCCATTGGCATCTGATTTACCCGTTCAACATGCAGCTCCTCTACATGTACTTCCGTACCTTCTTCAGTCTGAATTCGACCCACTTCTAGATAACTCACCTGGACCTGCTCTGGAAGCTCACTCATATGTGACTCATGTACTTGGCTGTCCTGGAGGAGATCTGGATGAACCTGTTCCACAGTCACTTGTGCTGAATCCACCTGGACCTGAAGCAATGGTAGTACATGTACCTTCCCAACTTGTTCTATAATCGTCATTGATGTTACAGGTTCAGTTTGCACACGTGTTTCTACTGAAAGAACTTCTTCAGTTATTAGACGCTCTGAAATATTGTGAGTATCACTTAGGTGCCTCCTTAATTCATTTCCTTGCATAAACCACAAATCACATAGAGTACAATGGTTGGGTTTATCTCCAGTGTGAATTACTAAGTGATCTTTGAACTGGTCCCAGCTGTTGAACACACTGTTACAGACCTGAAATAATCAAACACATGGTGTTAACAATACTCACATTCAAACGGAAGGAAAAACAGACACATTTATTCTCTGTAAGGAAAAGGTTGAAGATTTTTTCTGAAAATGTTATAAATATGGTATTTGCAAAAATCTAGTCCAAGCTATTTCTTACTTCTTTGGTTTATTTGGTCTTTTAGTTGGTAGCTGTTAAATTCTCAAACACATTTTGGAAAACTTTTTAATACTGCCTTCATTGGTTTAGGCATCATATAAATTCTAGGAACATAAAGTAACAATACTGTACACTTTCCCCCATGAGATCCACATTTAAATCCATTATATTATCTGGGACAAAAATGCATTAATCATGGAAGAAGATCCAATTACAGCTAGTTTGCCTGTCCTCCTTCACCCTTCCCTCATTGGGAATTCTAATGATTGCTCTATAGTTAAGAATAACCTCAGCTTCAGACTGCCTGTTATATGGAACATAATTTTTGTTGACACTGGTATCATCTAAAGTTGGGTTAAAAAAAAAAAAGCTATTCTAATTCCCCTTATAAAATCAAGACAATGATATTCTTTCATTTCTTTCCAACTCATCAGCTCTATACCTTTGCTTTATACTCTTTTATCCTTCACTTTATTTTATTGTGGTAAAATATATGTAACAAAAAATCTGCCACTTTAACCACTTTTAAGTGTGCAATTCAGTGACATTAATTATATTCATCATGTTGTGCAACCACCACCATCTATTTCCAATTTTTTCCATCACCCTTGTAACAGAAATTCAGTTAAGTAATACTTAACTCCCTTCCCGTCCCACCTACGCCTGGTAACCACTAATAAACCTATGTCTCTATACATTTGCCTATCCTGAATATTTCATTTAAGTGGGATCATACAATATTTGTCCTTTTGTGTTTGACTTATTTCACTAAGTATAATGTTTTCAAGGTTTATCCACGTCATTTCTCTTTATGGCTGAATAATAATACTCCACTGTATGTATATAGGGCATTTTATTTATCCATTCATCTACTGATGGATGCTTGCGTTGTTTCCACCTTTTGGCTATTGTGAATAATGATGTAACATAATGAACACTGTGTACAAGTATCTGTTTACGTTCCTGCCTTTCAAGTCTTTTGGGTATATACCTAGGAGTGGAACTGCTGGGTCACTGACAATTCTAACTTTAACTTTTTGAGGAATCATCCAACTATTTTCCACAGTGGCTGAACCGTTTTACATTCCCACCAGAATGAATAACGGTTCCAATTTCTCCACATCCTCGCCAACACTTATTTTCTGTTTTTTTGGTAACAGCCATCCTAGTGGCTGTGAAGTGTGTTATCCTTCACTTTTAAATATTTCAGGCACAGAATCCTTTGTTAAGGACAGAATACACTCACACATACCTGGCATTCATAAAGCTTCTTTCTTCCCTTTTTTGCCCCCACTCCAGTTTGGCATGCTGTCAGGTGACATTTGAGTGTGCTATTTCTAGCAAATCGTTCATGACAATTTGGACATTCAAAGGGTTTTTCACCTATTAAAAGAGAAGAATATACATAGATTGATAAATTAAGAAAAACAGCAAAAGCAAATAAATTTTTAACAGTTTATTTTTTTCTTTCTGGTTAATTTTAATAACACATTCTCGAGAGAGGATCAGTATAATTCAGGTGTTTTTACCACATCCAGACATGGAAATAACTTAAGAAGTCTTTAAGGATTATTATAATTGTATCTGTCATCTGATGAAGAAATAAAATTTTGATCTGAATTCTTTTCCATATTTTTTTATTTCTTAAAAAATTATATATTTTTTCTTAGATAAAAATCCAGATCAATCTCTAATTCAGGAAAATGCATCATTACCCATTCCACGAGCATTTTTTTAGCCCTTACTATGTTGTATGCCAGATCCTGTGCTGGATGATGGGGATGAAAAGAAACTGTCCTTGTTTTCAAAGACTTCATACCACAGGCCATGGTGTGAAGGTGAAATACATGAAAATAAACAACTGCAATGCAGTGTAGGTAAAAGGGCATGAAACATTTACTGTAGCAGTAAAAAGGGGAGGGAGGTGTTTGATTCTGCCTTGAATGAGAGAAAGAAAGAAAACCAGCTCATTCTAGGCAGACACAGAGGGTAAAACAGCATGGCAAGTGGGGAGTAAGGAAGAATCAATAGTGACTCCCAGATCTCTGGCTTAGAATACCAACCAGGATAAAGAACACAAGAGTCCATGCAGGTTTGGAGTGGGGTGTGCTGGGTTAAGAGCATAAATTCCGTTTTGTGTCTGCTGCTGAGTTTGAGGTACCCACAGAGCAGAGTGAAGATGTCTGGTAGGCAGCTGCATAGACAAATCTGATGCCAAAAAGAGGGAGGACTGATATGTAGAGAAGGTTATTTAAGTGGTAATAAAAACCTTAGGGGAAGATAAAATTTCTCAGAGTTATGTTGTATGATAAAAGAATCATCAAGTTAAACAACAGCAAATAGATGAGCCAGCAAAGGAAATGGAAGTAGAACAGCCAGTGGTGAAAGGAAAATTAGAATACTGAGGGAAATTAAAGAAGAAATTTTAGGAGAATGGGGATAGTAAACAGTGCCAAACTAAAGAGGGAAGTCAGGTAAGATATTAATAGGGGATTATAATAACACTAGAAAAACAGTGTCAGGGCTGTGGTGCGTCAGAAGCCAGACCACAGTGTGATGAGGGAATGGGAAACAAGTGAATGAAAAACAGTACAGAATTCTTTCAAGAAGGCTTGGAAGTAAAGAAGAGAGGTGGCTAGAGAGGGACAAGTCACTAAGAGGGTTCTTTAAGCCAGGAGAGGCTTGTTTATTTGTGGGGAGGAGGAGACAATGGGGAAGGAAAGGAGGAATGGGAATGACAGCAGGATCACGGTCTTGGAAAGGACATCAAATTTCATGGGATCTAGAACATGCATGGTTGAAGAAAAGGGAAATTTCTTACAGAATAAAGGAGGGGGAGACAACAAAGATGGATGCTGCCACAGGTAAGCTGGGGGCAGGAAGACAGGCATGTCATCTGCTGAGGGGTAGGGTGTGGGCAGGGGTCTTGAGTGAAGGTCTGCAATAGCAGGAAAACAAAGATGTAAATCAGACACCAAAGGGCCTAACTTAGGTCTAAGATATGAATTTTCTCCAGCTGTGCTCAGCAACCAGGAAGTAGGAGTAAATGGTTGCAATGATTCCAGAAAAAAGGGTTTATTAGAGCAGGTAGAGTCAAAAGCCAAGGGAATATGCCAGAGTACAAGAAATAGGGACTCAACTAGTATACCACAAGGTCCAGACAGGGCAGAGAAGCCAGAAATGGGGCCATAAACTAGGTGCAAAGGGGGATGAAGAGACTGAAAGGCTAAATGAGACAGAAGTGTGAAAAATCAGAGTAAGGAAAGGAGTGAGTGGATTCAAGGGACAGGATGCTGCTGGTAAAGAATGGGACTAACATTTCAGAGGTACAGTCACAGTGGTGAGATACCAGAATGAGGCCCTCATATATGTCAACAGAAGGGACACTGTCAAATAACTCTGAGCTATTTTCTTTCCCCTGACAAAACAATTATAGTTTATTTTGTACAATTTTCATGTGACTGAAAAATTAATTTGGAAGAGAAGACCTAACCACCTAGAATTAGTGTTGGCACAAAAATTCCTTTTCAATTCCCAAAATGTTAGCGATACTGCTAAATGGTTAAGTTGTGTGGTTTTATTAATATACAGTTTTTTGTTTTTTCAAAAACTATAAATGAAACCTACAAATATAAATTGGCATAGCATCTTCAAAGGGCAATTTGATAAAATCTGCCAAGACTTAAAATGCACGTATTCTTTAATGTAGCAATTCTGTTCTTAAAATATTTAAATTACTTGAACATGTGTGACAAGACATATGTGCAAATATGCTTATTGCAGGATAGAGTGTAATAGCAAAAGACTGGCAGCAACCTAAATGTCTATCAACAGGGAAAGAGTGGTTAAGTAAACTACGGTTATACCCATACAGTGAGAAAGATTAAACACTCATAAATGTTTCATTCCATTTAAAAAAAAAAGACTCCAAGATAAATGGCATAACACTGTGTACTGCATGCTCTTGTTTTTTTTTTTTTTTTTTTAAGTATGTGTGTGTGTGTATTTACTTGAAAATGCAAGGAATATACCTGGAAAGATAAATTAAAAAACTGATAGCAGTAGCTGCTTCTGGAGAGGTCTACTGAAGTAGGAAACAGATTCACTTTTCATTACATACTAATTTAACTTTTTTTATTTTTAAAAAACAGTTTAAGTCCAATAAAATCTAGAAATAGCAACTTTAGATATTGGCAGTACTGTTTTCAAAGTGCTTCTGCCATTTTATCTGTCACAACCCTGGTAAGTAGGTATCATTATTCTTATTTATACAGAAAGGAAATAAGCAAGCCCAAAGGTAAAGTAACCAATCAGGTTCATTATACTGGTAAATGTCAGAACTGGAGCTGAAACTGAATTCTGATTTTGGGGCCCACATTCTTTCTAGGATACCACACTCTCTCTCTGGGAAACTAGGGAACAGCTATTTGAAAACATGGTTAAAGGTCACCTCTGGGTTCTCGGTCACATGGGGTGTCCCACAGGAATATATGTCAATATGTCTGATATCTTCTCCTGCAAAATTGCCTATCCTTCTGTATTTTCCTTTCTAAGTTAATAATACCTCCAACAATGCAGCCACCCAAACCAGAAGGCTGGGAATAACCCTCTTTTGCCCCTATATCTCACTGATCATCAAATTCTGCTGATTCTGCCCACATACCAAAACAAACAAACCCATTGCTGCGGAATCGATTCCAACTCATAGCAACCCTATAAGACAGAGCAGAACTGCCCCACAGGGTTTCCAAGGGGTGGCTACTGGATTTTAACGGCCAACCTTTTGATTGGCAGCCAAGCTCTTAACCACTGTGCCACCAGGGCTCCTCTGCCTACTTACCAAAAACAAAACAAAACAAAAAAAAAAACCAACACCAAACCTGTTGCCATTGAGTTGATTCCAACTCATAGAACCTGACAGGACAGGACAGAACAGAACTGCCCCATAGGGTTTCCAAGGAATGGCTGGTAGTTTCAAACTTCTGACCTTCTGGTTAGCAGCCGAGCTCTTAACCACTGCGCCACCAGGGCTCCTCTGCCTACTTGAGTGTTACTCAAGTGTCCAACACATTCCCTCTATCGTTGCCTTTAGTCAAGCCCCTGTTCTTGTTTAGATTACGCCAACAGCTTTTTAATTACAGTTAGCACGTTTTACCCAACTCCAACCTACCTGCCAGTAATCCTTCTAAAATACAAACCTGATCAGACCTCTTCCTGGCTTAAAATCCCTTAAAATGGCCCCAGAGCCTTCAGGATAAAACTCAAACTCATTTACAGCACTTACAAAAAGAACTACATGAGCTCAGCCTCACTTTCCATCACTCTTTTTCTTGCCCTTATGCCACTTGCAGTTCTCCCATAATGCCTGGGTGTGTCCCTCATGGCCAGCCTTTCCTACCTCTCAGCCACATATCCTGGCATTCTTCTACTGGGACCCAATCCTTCAGCCATAACAGACTACCAGCAGTGCTCAAAACAGGTTGCTTCCTCTCATTCCTCTATGCCTGTGTATGTTCCACTTCTTTTGCGTGGAATGCCTTTCTTCTGGCTAACTTCTTTTCCTGTGAGTCATCATGGGATAAACCCCCTTCCATCAATGCCCAGGACTCTGTGCTCACCTCCATCAGCACTTAGTCTATCACACTGTGATTGTGCCTGTTTTTCTCCCTCAACATAACTGAGTTCCTTGAAGACAGGGACTCTAGAAATCTCTATCTCCATGGCCTAACCTGTTGATATTATCACTACTATTTTCCAAATGGAAACAAAATAATTCAGAGGTCAATTAACAAGTGAAATTTTGCAAATCAAGCCACAGGTAACAGTGCACACTTTAAGAATATACAAGAAATCAAACTGATAAACTAATAAAATTATGCAAAATATAAAACCAAGGGAGGTATATATGTGTGTTTTGTGGGTAAGGCAAAGGAACAGAATCATCTTTATCATTTCACTTAGTTTGTTACAAGGGCAAAATGACCAATCTTTTATTAAACACAATTTAAAACTATCCACTTATGCTCTTTTCGAATTCACTAATTGATTATATCTGCAACTATCTTGTCACTACTAATTACTAGTACAGTACTGGCTGAGGTTAAAAAAAAAAATCAGTTTGATTTATGTGCTTAACTGTTCCTCCAACTGGAATCTGATTCTACAATTTATAACAACTACTAAGTTATCTCACATCATTTTGGAGGGAAAGACAAAGTGAAAAAACATATTCCATAGTCCAGTCCAAAACACAAAGCATAAGACCTTAAAAGCACATTTACAAACTTCCGAAGACACAGTCCTCAAATAGACAACAGATACATACAATGTCTGAAAATCAGAAAGCATTTCCCCAAAGATTTCATAAATGTCTATTGCCCATCCATTGACGTCAAGTTGATTCCAACTCATAGCAACCCTATAGGACAGGTCAGAACTGCCCCACAGGGTTTCCAAGGAGTAGCTGATGGATTCGAACTGCCGACCTTTCGGTTAGCAGCCATAGCTCACCATAGCTCTTACCCACTGCACCAACAGTACCTTAAAGCCTTTTAAAACCACACTGAGCCTTAAGTACAGGATGAGATTCCCTTGCTATTTATCTATTTGTTCAGTTCCTGATTATTCATATCAAGAGTCTACATAGTGAGGGATACCATATTATCTGAATTTATTTGGTTCCTCAATTTTCAAGTGGTGTGTAATGAGCAACTGTGGACAGTGAGAGGTCTATAAAAAAAATTACCAGAAGTTATTCCAATTCCAATATCAAAGAGAAAAATTCTAAACAATGTGGAATCCCTATATTGTATTTACTATATATTAAGAGTCTAAAAGGCCACTATTACAAAAACCCAAGAAAAGGCTGAAACACAGAAGACAACATTCTTTGATGGTTACGAGGGTGGGGAGGGAAGGTGAGTGTTATTTACTAACTAGATAGTAGGTAAGAATTATCTTTGGTGAAGGGAAGGACAGCACACACTACAGGGGAAGTCAGCACAACTGGACTAAACCAAAGCTAAGAAGTCTCCTGAATACAAATAAACACACTGAGGGACACAGCAGCAGGGGTGGGGGTCTGGGGACCATGCTTTCAGAGGACATCTAGGTCAGCTGGCTTAACAAAGTTTTTTAAGAAAATGTTCTGCATCCCACTTCGGTGAGTGGCATCTGGGGTCTTAAAAGCTAGTGAGTGGCCATCTAAGATGCATCAGTTGGTTCCAACCACCTGGAGTAAAGGAGAATGAAGAACACCACGGACACAAGGAAAGTATTAGCCCAAGAGACAGAAAGGGCCACATAAACCAGACTTCATCAGCCTGAAACCAGAGGAGCTAGATGGTGCCCGGCTACCACAATGACCATCCTGACAGGGAACACAACAGAGAGTCCCTGATGGAGCAGGAGGAAAGTGGGATGCAGAACTCAAATTCTAGTAAAAATATCAGACTTAATGGTTTAATCGAGACTGAAGTGACCCTGGAAGACGTGGCCCCCAGGCTCTCTGTTAGCCCAAAATGAAAAACATTCCTGAGGCCAACTCTTCAGACAAAGATTAGACTGGACTATGGGACATAAAATGATACTCATGAGGAGTGTGCTTCTTAGCTCAAGTAGATACATGAGATTAAATGAGCAGCTCTCGTCCGGAGGCGAGATGAGAAGGCAGAGAGGGTCACAACAGGTTGCATGGACACGGAAATCTAGGGTGGAAAGAAGAGTATGCTGTCACAGTATAGGAACAGCAACTAGGGTCATATAACAACGTATGTATAAAGTTTTGTATGAGAGACTAACTTGAATTGTAAACTTACACTTAAAGCACAATTAAAAAAAAAGAAAAAAAAAAACAGGCCTTAACCACCACACATAACAAGGACTTGGGAACACACGTCCAGAGGTATGACACTTAGCACATCCACCACAACTCTCTCTACACCCTTGTTATAGCACGTTTAGTGACTCCCCAAGATTCAAGTCATTGGTGGTAGCTTCTGTGTCTGGTGCAAGAGACCTAGCAAAGAATGCTTGGGTAGTGGAACTGACAGAGGAAAAACAGGCATAGGGGATGCAGAATTATGAGGGCCAGAGGCCCTACGGTAACCTCCCCAGGACATCTACCTCATGCCTGAGATGGCTCCCAGTATAAAGACCTTATCCTTCTCATTTCCTTGGCTGTCAACCAGTCCTGACACTTCTGTCCTTGGAGAGGTGGTGGGAAGATGAACCTATACCACTTACTTATCTACCAGGTCAAAATAGAGAAAGACCACATGTACACAACAGTACAAACATATAACGGACTATCTGTAAATGTACTCATCTATGTAACATGTTAATGTAATAGAGAAATTACAAAAATACTGAAAATTCACTATAATTAGGATTTAATGATTTATGACGGTGTAGTAAATAAATCACAAACCATGTTTTACATTCTTTTAAAAATAAAAATATTGGCAAGGTGTAAGAGTGACAATTTCTTTCAAAGCTGATACTGATTTTGCTGTTTAAGCATCAATATTTCGAAGTAATACTATAAAAACAATGTGTACTTAACTGCAAATCAGAAAATACAACAGTTGGTTTCTATGGTACTAATAAAAAAAGGATTATTAGCACTTAGACTTGGAATGAATGTGGAAAAAAATATACATTTAACATAAAAAATACCCTAGTTACCTGTATGTTTTCGAAGATGCTCTTTAAAATGTCCAAAGTGGTCAAACTGTTTCTCACAGTACTGACATATGTGAATTTTTTTTCCAGTTCTTTGCTTCTTACTGACTCCACCTTCTTCAAGGTGGTAACAATTGAGGTGCTGTTTCCAGGCGCTCTCCCGAAGATACCTTTTATTGCATATTTCACACTTGAAACTCTCAGTGGAGTGTGATTTCATGTGCTCCTTAAAATGGTAAAACAATTTAAATGAACGGTTACATTTCTCACAATGGAACAAGTCCTTCACATGTGACAGCTGAAGTTCCACAATTTCAATACCTTCTACCTGTTTGCTTGTGGGGTCTGCTGCACAGCCATCTTCTTCTTTAATCTGCCCTTTTCTATCACCTTGACGGTATTTGCTGGTAATATCCGCCAACAGAGCTAAAGCAGAATCATCAGAGGAACCTGTGCTCTGAATGTACTTTATGGACTGCTTGGAAGAAGCCACTTCCTCTAACGTTTCGAGGCCTTCCTCTTCCACTTCAATTGTGCCTTCGGCAATCTCCACCTCAATTTCAACAGGTTCTGATTCTGCAGATGGCAATGACTCAGTGATAACATTGGAAGTTTCTGCAATCTTTCTTTTTTTTGCCTCATTTTTTCCTGCGTTATTTTCCTCAAGTGGAGCTGCATTTTCTTTGTTCCTGAAATACATAATGTATGGATTAAAAAAATCTGTAAGGCCAATCAAAATCCTAGCAGGCTTTTTTGAACAAACTGACAAGTTGATAATAAAAGTTATATGGACAGACAGAAAACAAGATTGGAGGATTTATACTACCTGATTTTAAGACTTATTATAAAGCTATAGTAATTAAGACAATGTGATACTGGTGAAAGAAAAGACATACTGATTAATGAAACAGAATAAAGTCCAGAAATAGACCCACACTTACATAATCAATTACTTTTTGAAAAATGTTCCAAAGTAATTCAATAGAGAAAAGATCATCTTTTAACAATGGTGCTGGAACAACTGGCATCTGCATGGAAAAAATAAACCTCAATCCTTACCTCACACCATATACAAAAAGTTAACTGAAAATGGATCACAGACTTAAATGTAAGAACTAAAACCACTAAAAACTTCTAGAAGAAAATATAAGAAAAATTTGTCACATCGGATTAAGCCAGGGTTTCTTAAAGTACACACAAAAAGTAGAAATCATACTAGAAGAATTGATAAAATGAATTTCATCAAAATTAACAACTTTTGCCCTTTGAAACAGTTTTAAAAGGCAAGCCAGACTGGAAAAAAATATTTGCAAACATTTATCTGTGAAAGGGCTTATATTCAGAAAATAAAAGAACTCTCACAATTCAATAAACTCAGTAAAAGAAGACAAGCAACTGTTTAGAGACAATTCTCCATGGGTCTCTTGTGTCTCAGCATGTCTTGTGAATAGTCATTGACAGCTTTTGTTCTGGTCTATTTTTTCAAGAACGTCTGCAGTACGGTAAACAACCTTGGAAGACAGAGACAGTGTCTCCCTTTGCAGCAGAGGGAACTTTTGTTTACTGTCCAATGATGTCCCCAGAGGGGAAAAGGTCAGGCAGGTTTGCTTGCAGCCCATTATAAAAGATTTGGGTTTCCTGAGCTGGAGATTCTTCAGCTGTAATGTAAACCCACTGTGTGCACAAAATCCACCCAGGCCACTCTGTATCACCCTCACTAGACTTGAGGGAGGAGGAGGAACTGACACAAATATGCTGCCTGCTGCATTGAGAGCAATAAAGTCCTTTGCCTCTGACCCAAGAGTCTTGTGTCTTCTACCAGCAGCCATGAAATGATGGGACCCTAACTTGTTGACTTGCCAAGTAGAGTAAAATCTGAGACCCCTCAGAGTTCTTGCCAGTTTTTGGCAATGAGAATAGGATACTGAAAGAGACAAGGCTTTCTGGAAAAGGAAGGATGAGGCCTTACAGACTGACTAAAGGGACCTGAGGGAAGTCCACTGGAACCAGAAGCAAACATGCTGACCAAATTGTATGGTCAACTGGCAATAGCTGGTCCTCCATTTTATTGCATATTAATGGCTGCAGGATGAGTATGGGCAGTAAGTTCAAGAATAGTTGCTAGCATGTGTACTGGCTGTTGCAAACTCCCCTGTGGGTGGGGCAGGGAGAGGAAAGGGGACCTCAGCAATCTGGTGGTCAGCCTTGGTCTGCCCCATCAGAACAAGTAATACCAAGATTCACCCTGGGTAAGGGGGACAAAAAGTTCTGCTCCTTTTCAGACAAGTTACAGTGATGTGCACCTATACTGAGTGTGAAAGCAGGGAAATTTACAACCACCTATGGGCAGAGATCAGATGAATCATTAGAACTTTGGTTGGTTCATATGCAAGATGAGGGAGTGACTTAATGCTTGTAAAGCAAGAATGATACACCCCCTGCAGTCTATCATGCCCACCTTAGCTCCATTTGGAGATGAGAGTAAAAGACCTCAATGAGTTCTTCTGCAGTGGGTCCTTGCTACTAAAAGGGTGTGCTGGCCCTCTTAAGGAGATTTCCTTGAGACAAACTCCTATGGGAAACCACAGATGAGGCACTGACTAGTAATAGAGCCTTCTTGCCCAATTAGGTTTATAATGCTGATGAAGACGAGCCACTGGAGAATGAGAAATGAACCCCAAAAAATCTAGATTAAATTCTTTTAGGCAGGCTTGTTGCCTTAGAAAACATTCCCTAACCCTTATGTTAGAATCAGACAAAAACACAAGAGATGTTATCATGGTAACAGGACACCAAATGTCCCAGATTAACATGTACTCCTTAAAAAAAGTTACCACTCTACAAGTCAAGCCTGAATCAACCAAAAAGCATAAACCTCATGGCCCCAACTAGAAAGCAATGTGGACGGGGGTGTTGAATCAAGAGGTCCCCTAAGTTGAAATAGGTGTTATCAGCAATGATGACCTTACTGCCTTAATACAAGGCTCTGGGTCAGCCAAAAACATTGGAGACTTGTTTGGTCAAGCTACACGCAGCTTGAAACCAAAAGTAAATGTGCTTTGCTTAATGGCACAGTCACCCTCTCCATAACCCCTAATCTCTTTCTTATCCTCTACCTTGACTTCAGCTGCTTTCAAAAGAAAGGTAATTAGGGATGGAGCTGAGATATCCTTGTTTTCAAGGGAGACCAAAGGCAACACATATCCACCCAAATATGCTGGGGAAAACCTAGTAAAGGGAAGGACTCAAACTTTTAATGGCTCTGCTACTTCAGTACTGCCAGACATACGTGTTCAACTCATCACCCTACCCAGTCGTACAGGGAGAAGAGGTGCCTGCATTCAACTGATGGGGTCTGGGCAAGGTCCACAGCAGAAAAGGGAGGCTATCCGGACCTTGTGGGTGGGGCCCTTTGGGCTGATTCTATGTACTGTAGTTGCTTCTACATCTGAATATATAGTACAAATTGATATGTTATATGCATTTACTTCCCCATTCCATAAGAACCAGAAGGGATTATCCTGATTAGGAAGAACCATACGTAAAGACGTACCAGTGGAAAAAATCTGATACTTGCCACCAATGGTGGGTCAGGAGTTAGTGCGAGTGTCTCTATCTTCTGATAGCCAAAGATTACACTATACTGATAATGCCCTGCTGACCTCAGTCTCATATCATAGCACCACCAGTATGGCTGCTAAAAAACAAAATTCAGAGGTCTGCTCACCAAGTAAACTTTATTGGGCCTTTGCAGGTAGATTCACAATGCTCAATCCCTCTAGCAGCCAAGGAAAAACTGCTGTTTTTTCACCTCTCCCCTCCCACCACCAAAATGAGGCCCAGCATCTTATTGGACTTTTTCAGTTCTACACACAGTATTACTTCACTGAGGGTGGATTCTACTTGCTCCTTTATATCAGCTAATCTGCAAGTCAGCTTCCTTTAAGTGGTATGCCAATCCAACAGGCTGTTAGAAGTTGTCCAGCAAGCTGTGACATGTTCTCTATCTTTGGGGCCTCATAACCCTAATGATCTCTTTCAGCTACAAGTCTCTGAGAATGATGATTTTGTGGATTACAGCTTCTGGAAAAAGGAGGCAGCCTTCACACAAAGGTATTCCTTGGGGTTTTGGACTTGTCAACTTCCCGACACGCTATGAGGTACGAACCCCTTTGAAAAGAAGTAATCAGCTTGCTGTTGGACTTTTGTTGAAACTTGATGTCCGATCCATGGAGGCCTTGTCACTCTTCAGCCTAATATTCCCATTTGGGAATGGGTCAACTCAGGCTGCATGACTGACAAGGTAGGAAGAGTCCAAGGGAAGGGTTCGACAAGCTTCACTTGTCAAATGGAAATGGTATACTCAAGAATACAGCTGGACTCTTGGTTTACGTGAAAAAGTGGCAGCTCCTCCATTCTGCTGACCAAGGTAAAGCCACTGGCTCAATGGGGCCCTTGATTCACCAGGTTCCCCTAAATGTCTAGACCTGGATTACTGATGCTTTGGGTAAACTGAAACTTGTTGTTCACTGGGATGCTGCAGCTGCTCAGCCTTAACACCAGCTATGGAAAACCAAAAGTGGACAAGGTCTCTCTGCTCAGTGGGCAGAACCAAGGCTGTTCTCACAGCTCCGGCCAATATTCTTCAAAATGAACCTTGTTATATTTTTTACTGCTTCTTGGGCTGTTTCCAATGGCTCAGCTATCTGGTTTGCTACTTAGAAGACTACAGCTTGAAGTCTTGGCAGATTAAACACATCCATCTTTGGAGATGCAAATAAACAGCTGCTCTCACATTGTTTTGGTCATGGCAACACATCCACCACCATAGAATGGGCACAAAGTAAAGGACTCTGTTTCTGATGCAGAGGGTGCCACTGCATACGAGACTTGTGATTCCTGCCCAAAGCTGGCCTGTTTGTGGTGAAGGAGGCCATATCGCATAGGGCATTGTGTCACTTGTTTCCAGCAGACTGACTACACTAGACCTTTGACGCCATCTAGGGACTATCAGTGATGCCTCGCTGCTGATGATACTTTTTCAGGTTACATTATTGCCATTCCAGCCCAATTAGCTGACTCTGGCCACATCACTGTGGCCTCTGAAACCCATCTGTCATATGTTCAGCTTCCTAGACCATCTGCAGTCTGACGATCTAGCAAAAAGCACTCAATAACGGGCTGACAGGATAATGATGGACCTTTCACACTCACTACCATACACATGTACTTATTTTGTAGAAAACTGGAACAGCCTTGTTATGGATTAAATTGTGTGCCCCAAAATGATCTGCTGAACTCCTAACCCCCAGTACCTGCGAACGTGACCTTGTTTGGAAATAAGATCTTTGAAGATGTTATCCATTAACATGAGGTCATACTGGAATAGGGTGTATTCTAATCCAATATGAGTGGTGTCCTTATTTAAAAGAGAAAAAAAAGAGAGACAGACACAGAGACAGAGAGGGAAGATGGTCATGTGGCATGAAGGCAGAGATTTGGAGTGATGCTTTTAGAAGCCAGGGAATGTCAAGGATCACTAGCTATCAACAAAAGCTAAAGGAGAGGCATGGAAAAGATTCTCCCTCAGAGCCCTCAGAAGGAATCAACACGGCCAACACCCTGACTTCAGACTACTAGCCTCCAGAAATGGGAGACAATAAATTTCTGTCATTTTAAGTTACCCACT